GGGTCACGAACAGCAGGGCAATGAGGTTCGCTGTGATGGGTAGTGCTCTTCCATGTGTTTCTCTCCCTTGTTCGTTGACTCGGCGAAGTGCTTCTTCGGGAGTGATTGCCTGTTGTTCTTCTTGAGGTAGTCTTAGAACATAGGCTCTCACCACGGGGTCGTTTTCACTCACTAGGGGAACAAAAGTGTCCATCCATGACTCGTTCATGCGCTGGTAGGACAGCTGGAATCTTGTCATCCACCTCAGCATATCAGCTTGAAGTACCTGACTCCATCTTCCTTGTTCTTCAAAGCTTCTCGATCAAGCAATCTCTTGTAGATAGCAGCTTCACCTTCAAGTCTGTTTCTCAATGCGGGTCCTCTCTTCTCTGGTTCAAGTTCTGTGATATCACACCAGTCGTCTACGGCATCTTCGAAAGCAAACCAGCTACTTCTACCATCATAAGATGGGGGAACCTTGGTGGTCACCTGCTGAAAGGCAGAAAGACGCTGAAGCTCTTCCAGTGACCTGTTCCCTGCAGCTAAGGCTTCTCCGTCTGGTTCTTCGTAGTCGTCGAACTGGTCGTACGAGTGACTTGCCATGGCTCTACGATTGGGCTCGGATCGGCTTCCGGTTTTCGAGCTTCTGGCTGCCTCTGTCCGAACAGAGCGTGCCAAGGATTACCCTGGACACCTCTGTTGGTACAGAGCACTCCAGGTCATTCCCGGAAGCTCCGCTACCACGTTGAGATGAAACCTGAGCGTTACCAGCCTCCGGCTCGGTACAGCTGGCAAGGCACGCAGGTGTCTCTTTTAGCTCTGCTGGCTAAGTGTATCACTCTGATCCAGAACCTGCACAGGCCACTGCATGTGATGATGACCCCCTACCCCCCTGCCTAGCCCCCCCCCCACAGGAGGACCAAAAGCAACCGAATTTGTTGTTTTGGAAGGCGGCAACCACGCGTTTTGTGTTGGCTGCACCCTTCTTCCCCCCCCCCTCCCCCCGACCCTCACCCCGCCCCCCCCCCCCCCCCTACCCCCCTGCCTAGCCCCCCCCCACAGGAGTGAGCCTCAAGGCCCGGTTTAGGGTTTAGGGTTTAGGGTTTAGGGTTTAGGGTTTAGGGTTTAAGTTTTAGGGTTTAGGGTTTAGGGTTTAGGGGAAACCCTAAACCCTAAACCCTAAACCCTAAACCCTAAACCCTAAACCCTAAACCCTAAACCCTAAACCCTAAACCCTAAACCCTAAACCCTAAACCCTAAACCCTAAACCCTAAACCCTAACCCAGGATGGGTTGGGGCTCTGGGGGTTTAGGGTTCCTGGGTTGGGATGTCCCCCCCTTATACTACATCGTCCTTAGTAGGAGTTGCAGTAAGCCCTATTCTACTCCCCATTAAGAACTGTTTGTAACTGTTAGGGTTTAGGGTTTAGGGTTTAGGGTTTAGGGTTTAGGGTTTAGGGTTTAGGGTTTAGGGTTTAGTATAAGGGGGGACATCCCGAGTTCAGGGGCAGTTTACTGCCAGTGGTTGACAGCACCGATCCTGGAACACTGACCACGATGCCTGGAGCTACTTGTCTACACAGCTCGGCCTTCTCGGGCTGAAGTCTTCAGATTGGGACACACACAAACAAAAGGAGCAAACAAAAAAGAAACAAGCCGGTGCCTTTTGGCTACTCCATGTGGGGGTTTGGTACCTTCTTGGGGTCCTCATTATAAGGGGATCCCACTATTTCGGGTCAACATCAGGGTCCCCTGTTTTCGTAAACCTCCATGTTGGCTCAACTTCATGCGCACGAAGTCAAAAGACCGTTGCTGCAAATGTCTGGACCCTAGGCACAACACGCCCAAGTTGGAATCTCCGGTGCAGAAGTTTCTTCTGAGGGTCAATCACAAAACGCGAAGATTTTACACGCAGAAAAGAGCGAAGCAAAAGAGTAAAGTAGTCTGTGCTACTCAGTAGGGTTTGGCACCTACTTTGTCTAATGTGAAACTGTACATGCTTGTCTTAAACATGCTCAAGGCTACTGTTCGGGCCTATAAGCAACAAAGGAAAAATGCATGGTACAACTGCTACAGAATGACATGTACAGGAGTAGACTTCAACACTCCTCCTTCGCAACACCGCTAGGGTATTGCGACAAACACAACCTGTACATGTCCATTCCTTCCGGGAGGAGGTACGAGCTCCTACCGAAGGAAAGGCTGTAGCTGGCCGGCTGGCCTCAGAGTGCGAGGGCTCTCACGGCACCTCTTTGCAAAAGGAAAGCACTGCTGGCAGGCCTGCGCAATGGGGCGCGCAACCTACCCGTCAGGGCGGCGCGGCGGATGCCCTAACGTACGCTATGCTGCGTGCAGTCTGCCTGGCCAGAGCTGCACTGTTGCCTGACCCACCCTTTTTGGCAATCTGTGCTCCAGCCATGGTTTCAAACTCGGCTAACACGTGCTTGTAGTACTCCTGAACCGCATCTTCCGAAGGGTGAGTCTCGATGTGCAGCATGCTGCGGACCATCTGAGTTCGGAACGTCCGGATTTTGGCTTAGGATATGGTTGGTCATTTTGGTGAGGGCACCGGCAAGAACTGTAGGGTCTGGGGCAAGCATACCGCAGTCAATGAATCGCTTGTGCCACCTACCCCACGCCCTCAGTGCAGCCACACCTGACACCACATCCTGAACAACACTGGGATTTTGCAGGTGATTCAACACCAACGCCTTTTCAGTGGAACCTCCAGGTTGGTACAACGTGTAAAGCCGAAACATGATTTGGGTAGCTACTTGAGTGGTTCTGCGGACAACCATTTCCCCTTTTACACCTTGGTCTAGGGCTGCTAAAATCATGGTGCATGCACGTGCGTTGACCCTCGACCACTTCCCCTCGACCAGCTCGGGGCGGTCATCAACTTCCACCCTGACGCGATCGAGCGGGGTAGCCTTGACCCATCGTTCATACGCGTCGCGGCTCACCTGAAGGACTGCGTTCCACCAATCATGCGACGTGTCGGACAAATCACCCATTAACCCGGCAACTAACTCCAACCAGTCCTGAAAATCCAACGAACCGCTCATCGGATCAGGGGCTTTCAGCATGGGAAGTGCAGTAGTGCCTGGCTTGACGGTTTCAGGGGCGTTACTAACAACACTCTTATCCCGCATGCCCTGCGCCTGCATTGTTTGGAGCTGCTGCATTCCTGCAAACAAGGCATCCATCATGGGATTGCCTGAGGAGGCTGCGGCACACGGCGTTGCACTTGCTGCAGGCGCTCCTCCTGGAGCTGCACTGGCTTGGGCACCTGATATTTGTGCACGCGGCACCTGTGTACCTGAGCTGCGGCCTGTGGCACCTCCTGTGCACAGGCACTGGGCCCAACCCCTCCAATTGGAGATGCAGGCACCTGTGTACCTTGCACCTGCACCTATGCATAGGCAGTGGGTCCAACCGGTGGAGATGCGGGCACCTGTGTACCTTGCACCTGCGGCATTCCTGAGCCGTGAGGCCAGATCTGGCCCAGACCCAGGTTTTCGGCCTGAGAAAGGGGGTCTGGGGCAGAAGAGGCCAAGTTCACCTGTGCTGCGTCGAGGACTGCCCAACCCCTCCTGGGCAACCTATGGGAACCCTGCAACCCTGACCAGAAGTTGGACCAAGCCCTGCTGCTGCAGGCTGCAGCTTGAGCGGGCGCTCTCAAAGCACCAACCGCCGGCGCTGCAACAAGCGTGGACCTGAGCATCTTGCGGCGATGGCACCTGGAGGGGTATGGGGACCTGCATTTGTGATGGTGTGGGGGCCTGCGGGGCACTGCTTGAAGCTGCCGCCTCCCTTGCCAACTGCTTCCTCATAGCCTTCTCCTCCTCAAGTTGCCTCCTCAAACGCTGGATCTCAAGGTCCTGACCCTGATTTCTCAACTCCTGAGCCTGAGCCCTTTGATCAAACCCCGCCAACTGCCTAGCAACCTCCGCTTGAATTGCGTCCTGGGGCAAGGAGGTTGAGTCTGAACGGGATTGGGGCCGATCACCGTACAATACGCAGCATGTCAGCGTTCAGGAGCGGGCCCTCCCTTCCGGGGTGCGGCGGTGCAAAGGATGTTGGCGTTCCTTGTGGCCCCACTTGCGGCGAAACTCCCATCTCCCAAAGCCAACTGCCCTGGTGCACCCCCCGGACTACCCATGGAACGGGTAGCACTTCGCGGTGGCGTTACGTGTGAGTCCTGCCACACCGGGACCTGCATGACCTCAGCGCGTGCTACTCTGAAAAAATCTCCAACCCTTGACATGAGCTGCAATGGCGCTGCTTCACCACTCGCGGTACCTGGCATGCCAGTGCTGGTCTGCAGACCTGGGCTCCCGCCCGGTGTGTTGCGGGGCACAAGCACAATTTGGTGTGCGCTCTCACCACCCTCACTGGTGGTCGACATTGGTGGCACTTCCCCTGAACCTCGCGACGATTCATGCTGGCCTGTGCGTCCCAACGCCCCTCCCGTAGCCGTGTTAGGTTCAAGGCCCACTGCACCTGACTGGCCTGATTCACGTGGTGGCATTGAACCTGGATGCTGCAAACCATCCCCTCCGGGAGGTGGAGATGGATGCGGAGTATTGGTGCCGTAGCCCTGCCCAAGCGTTGGGCTCATAATCTGCTGGTGAGTACCAGCAGGCGGTGAGGAAGAAACCAGTGGACTGCGCAATTCCCCAGAATCGTCCCTCAAAGCCATGGCCAAGCACTCACAAAACGCGAAGATTTTACACGCAGAAAAGAGCGAAGCAAAAGAGTAAAGTAGTCTGTGCTACTCAGTAGGGTTTGGCACCTACTTTGTCTAATGTGAAACTGTACATGCTTGTCTTAAACATGCTCAAGGCTACTGTTCGGGCCTATAAGCAACAAAGGAAAAATGCATGGTACAACTGCTACAGAATGACATGTACAGGAGTAGACTTCAACACTAAACCTTAAACCCTAAATTATAACCCTGAACCCTAGACCCTAGACCCTAGACCCTTCATGGATCCTATGCCATATGTCCATTCGAGGCGCCGGTCGTCCAAGGTGCAGATGCCACGGGGAGGGATTCCCAGTGCCTCTCGAGAGATCGTTAGAGACTCGTGTGCGGATTTCTGGTTCTTGGAGGGTTTAGGGTTTAGGACTAGAGGGTTTAGGGTTTGGGGCTAGAGGGTTTCGGGTTTAGGTTTTCAGGATTTAGGGTTTATAGGGTTTATAGGGAAGGCTTTTGCTCTCTGCCTTTTTTTCGGGGGTGGTCTTCTTGTTTGGCGCTGGACCCTGCGCCGGAGCTCCTTTGCATCCCGGGGGCCTCGCGATGTGAAGAATGGCCAGGAGCCGAGCCCCGTTTAGGGTTTAGGGTTTAGGGTTTAGGGTTCCAAGCCAAGAAAGCCAAGGGCTTGGTCCCCTCAACACCGCGGCGTCGGGTGGAATCAACCTGGGACCCACCCTAAACCCTAAACCCTAAACCCTAAACCCTAAACCCTAAACCCTAAACCCTAAACCCTGACGGTTTTATGGGCTATTTACTTACTGCCTCTCTGAATCCCTGAGCCTGAGATTCCTGCCTCCAGCTGGCGGCAGGCGTGGCATGCGAAGTGATTCCCCATGCTCCTGACCGGAACACTGGTTTAGGGTTTAGGGTTTAGGGTTTAGGGTTTAGGGTTTAGTTAAGTTGACACTTCCAGTACGAGCACGGACAACGCCGAAGCTCAAAGTTCAGGTTCGCCCCGCTATGAATCACGGGGGGGCTTGTGCAAGAATACAGAACAAAAGAGACCAAGAGAATTCCCTCACACCGCGTTCACGACTTGCGTGAGGACTACGAGGATGGGCCAGTAGGCCTTACAATCCCCATCATCAACCCTATCAAGGGGCTTTTCAAGGGTTTGTAAGGTATACTCGCCCATCCGGGTAAAGGACTGCAGCCAGGAAGCCAACCCACCAGCAGAAGCTCCGATGCATCGTAGCACCTGACTTCAACTCGAATCGCTGCTGCGTGTTCCTTGCCTCGCGAATCGCGAAGCAAAGTTAGCAAGAAGGCTACTTCTCTCCCTATGTTTCTACCAGGGACACAAGCCTTCTGGTAGCTTTAGATAGAGCTCCAGGCGATTCCGACCCTTCCGCCTCCAAAACTGCCAGCAAGGCACGTCTCAAGGAGGAGATGCGTGAGCCAAGGAGTGGCAGCCATGTTCTGAGCGAAGGAGATCAGGCCATAGATCCTGGGAATTGCACAGGCCAGGGAGGGCGGGGCTTGCTGCGTTTAGGGCTTGGGGGTTTTAGGGGCTTAGGGGTTTTTAGGGTTTGGGATTTAGGGATTTGTTCAGAGGGGCTCTGTGTGGGTAGATTGCCGGGAGCACGAAGTCATCCCTGGCAAGGATGAAGGCTGCTTCCCAGGGCTATGAGGCGGCTCCCGGGTCTTTCAAGGGGTGGGGGGGGGTGGTCGAAATCTCTTGTGTTTAGGGTTTAGGGTTTAGGGTTTAGGGTTTAGGGTTTAGGGTTTAGGGTTTAGGGTTTAGGGTTTAGGGTCAGCAAAGGCCTTTCAAAGCTAAGCTAAGGAGAAGGAGGGCTCCGAGGACTCGACGTTTTGTGTGTGGTATACCATAATGCTACATGACTCTCGCGCCTATACTACTTGTATCATTCTGGCTGTCTTCATTCTTGATCCAGTGTTCGTACTGCAATTCCTGCAAGTATTCTCAACCTTATGGCGATGTCATTAAACCCTAAACCCTAAACCCTAAACCCTAAACCCTAAACCCTAAACCCTAAACCCTCTTCTTCGTCGGCCAGGTGGCTGCAGCTCGTCATTGGGATCGATGCTCCAGACTTGGTGAGCTGCAAGTGTCCTGAGGTTTTTCTTGCCAAAGGGTTTAGGGTTTAGGGTTGAGGGTTTGGGTTTAGGGTTTAGGGTGCCAAACCTTGGGGACCAAATGAACCCTAAAAGGGTCCAATAGGAGTTATAGTAATGTGGGGTGTATGGCCCCAATTTTAGGACTCATTTCGTCCCCAAGGACCATGTGGGACCATGTGGGTATGTCTTGCTTGGCCGTTGCCGGGTTTGGGGGTTGCTTCGTTTTGGCGTGCCCGCGTTTTTGCCTTCCGATCGATCAAGAAACAATACAGGGCGGGCATTTTCTTGCTCGGAACGTGTCGGGCCAGCAGCACAAAACAAAAACAGGGGAGCTTCGTTTTTGGGTCTCGCCATATGCGGAGTCCGTTCGTGTGTGCTATGTACGTGAGTGCGCTTGTTTCTTGTCGCGGTTGCACTTGGCAAAACATCCGTGCAGTGCAGCAGCGCGTTTGCGTTTTGTTGCGTACGCGCCACTTCACACATCGGCACTGACGCAGAGGCAGACGCAAAGTGCCCTCTCCCGGAAAGGGCAGCTATCTACGGTTCACAGCTTCATGACTCATTCGCCGGCGTCTGCAAACACATCGTACGAAGCAGCTGAGTCTGCGCCCTCGACTTGGGGGACAAAACGAAGCCGAAAATCGGGGTCATATACCCTTACAAACTACTACAATGCCTCCTCCGGTGTATGAACCAAATATCATCCCTAAGGGTCCATGTACCTATCTAGTATATACTTGGGCCTTAAAGGGGTTCCCATATAGTAGCTTTAGGGCCCAAGTATATACTATATAGGTACATGGACCCTCAGGGATTGTTTTAGGGTCCTTAGCTCCTGGTCTCCAAGTCTTGTAAACGTCTATCCGAGCCCCCCACTGCGCCAAGGCGTGGAACCCGACGTTCCGGTCGCTGGCCCGCGTGGCGCCAGCGACGCCGCAGACAACCCACCTCATGGGGGGGAGGTTCAGGGGTTTAGGGATTAGGGTTTAGGGTTTAGGGTTTAGGGGTTTAGAGCTAGCAACAGAATATGAAAGATGTGCTGAAGATCCCTTCAATTATTAAACCTGCTGCTCTTGATACGATTTGCGCTTCGACTGCGAGAGATTGCCCTCCCAACCCCCCGAGTCCCCTCGAGTCCTGCCTCGGAGTTGTCGGAGAAGCATCTCTCAGGTCAGCCGGCGGCAGGTGTCCGGCATACTCTTTCCATGATTCAACCAGCCCGGGGCTGGCATGAAGGAGGGCAAAACCGAATCATACAGGACCCACAAACCTTCCGAGTTTTGCTAGAGGTGGCATGGCGACGGCGGCACCCATTTTCGGAAGGCCCTAGAGGACTCGTGTGCCACCTGGCCCGGCGGGATAGGGACACCCAGCTCACACCAGCTGGCACACAGCACCGGATCTCTGCTTCATGAGGGGGGGGGGGGGAAGGTAAGCCGAATGCACCCAAAAGGGCTTCTTGAAGCTCAAAGCTTCAACGCGCCCCAGCAGTGGAGTGTCAACAGGCTCGAGCCTTGCCGCGCATCTGGGAGGATGAGTCGCTGTCACTCCGATGACACTGAGATGCCTGCACCTCTTGCAGTGGCTAACACTTCCGGGGTCGATGTCCTTTCAAGAATGCAATACTACCCTAAGCCAGTCCGAGATCAGCGGCAACCCACATATCCCACACGTCACACGTGGACATTCAGTTCGCTACCAGGAAAGGCTTTCCGAGGGCCTCAGCGGTGAGCTGTCATCACAGGGCCGGCGCCGTGGTATGGGCCTTTTCATGCTTCGAAGCCCAGACATACGGTGCGCCCGGCAGACAAGGCTGGAGAACTGCATTCCTCTTGTGACTCTTGTGCTTGTTTTAGCTCGCTAGCACAAAACATCAATCTTCCACAGAGGGAACACTCCTCGGACCCACTCTGCTCTTCTAACTCGCGTGCAAGATCTGACCCCCCAACTTGGCACGGTTGTCTTTGTCACAGCAACACCAGATTTTGGGGGGGCCCCCAAGGCTCACTATGAAGCTGGGCTGGACATCACAAGGCTGATCCAGAAATCAAGACATGCCATCCGTTGTCGCAAGCCGAGGTGTTGAGCTCCTGCCTCTGCTGTCTCCGAATACGGACACAGCCCTCCCATCTCTCAAAGGCATTTGGCAAGCTTGCACAATGTTGCTGCCCAAATGACTTTCAAAGACCGCCTGAGGACTCGCGACGTGCAAGCCTCGCCGTCAAGAGCCGATGGGCCTGCTTGCGAGGTCATGGCGCCATAGTGCCTCGGCAGAACGGCGCAGGACCAGGAAGTTAGGTGAGGTCAAACCCTTGAACGGCGCCCTCTAGCTAGTTGCACACAGCTTCGTGGCTTACAGATGCTTCAGCGAAGGTGCTGCTTGCCTTGCAGAGGCTTCTGCAACCCGCTGATGCCCTGACTGCTTCTGCACCGCATTGCCTGGGCTCCTCTACAAGGACACAAAACTGACCTTGCCGTAGTTGCCACAGAACCTACCAATATGGGGTCCTTCTAAAGGTCACGCAATAGGAAAGGGTTACCCGCGCATAGGCTGTATAAGAGGAAGCAGTGGAATCAGCCATGTGCCGTTCCGATGTTCTGCAGAAATTGGCCCCTGTTTGATAGGGCCTTGAGCACTTAGGCTAAGCTGACTTCATGCTGCATGTGATCACTGTGGCGAACGACGGAATGGAGGGGGACGATGCATGTTGCAGCGACGGCCTTGTTGGCACTCGCAGCTGGGACGATGCATGTTGCAGCACGATAACCGCTGAGATTCAAACGCATCCTTTGCGGCAAAAGCATGAGGGGAGATCTGGGAACAAGGGGCAGGGGCCCAGCAGGTCTTATTGAGGCTGCAGAGGAAGTAGCTGCACTTGTAGCCAAGTGGGAGGCCAAAGCAGAGTCACAGCCCCCAAAGTTCTTCGCGTTCACTTCGGATACGGTTAAGCGGCCGAACTCGAAGCGGTGGAAGCCTTCACAGGCCAAGAGGCGGAAGGCTTTGCGTGGCCACTTCGTGGGCTCGTTAAGGGCCCTTGATTTCGTAACAGCAAGAAGAAGATGTGCTTCAAGGAAGCCATCCAAAAGGCAGAAACCCAGGCCGTGGATTTCAGTGCCTCAAGGGCCCAGGGTTTGCAAGTTAGAGGGCGCGCCTGGGCACGGAGAAGCCCATCACCGGATGGCGAATAAGGGTCCCCCTATAGAACTCCTCGAATTTTCGGGGGGGGGGGGGGGGGGGGGGCGGCTGCAGAATCTGCATACGGGACTTCTGAAAACCTCGGAAGGGCGCGGCAGAGCAAAGGGATGTCCCCGGCCCCTACCTTGGTGTCTCTAAAGAATCGAGCCTACCAGCAGGGGCTATCCCTATAAAGGGCCCTCCTAAGGGGTTATAGGGTATAAGAGCCATTGTAGGTAGGACGAGCCGCCCCTCTCATGGTGAAGCCCGGAACCTGCAGACCTTGGCTTGGAGGTCGCCACTCTGCAGCTCAGGTCAGCTTTCTGAAGAGCCGTGGGATGTGGTTTTGGAGAGGATACCACAGGATACCGACTTCCTGCATGGGCTATTCTACACTTATCACCCCGGAAGAAGGCCCACTTAGAGGGTTGCTTAGGGGGGAATCTAAGGCCTAATGGCCCATGCTGACTTAGGGGAGTGTTGAAGACGGCTTAGAGGGAGGCCCTGGAAGACCTGAAGCGTTGGGCAGAGGATGTTGGTTTGCGCGGTGCCCATCAACCAAGGAGCCGCATCACTCGGAAAGCGCGTGCGCTCCGCCTTTCGGAGAGCTTCGAATCGAAGTTACCCTCAGCTCACAGTCAAGAAATCCTCTTTGGTGCACTTTAACCACCTGCGCTTGCTGTCCCAGCCTTCCCAACGCAGGCATCTCCTGAGGTCTGACGTGCCTTTGTTTTGAGAAAGGGCGGATATGGGCTGAAAAAGCCGTGAAACGTCCCTGGAACCTGGTGCGAGATGGGGCGAGGTCGTGGTGGAAGTGTGGGGAAGTGGGTCTCTGATGAGAATCTTCTGGGGAAAGTGAGAGGTGACCAGCGCCAGGTCGTCCGTCAGGTCAGCCCCTCTCTCTTGGCCTGGGAGATGCCGGAGGTGCAGCCTCTGTTTTAACTCGTTTTCCGGGCTGCGCCTTGATACAACTGAAGCACGCCTAGGACCTCTGGATCCGGTAGCAATCGGGCTGACCAGGTAGCTGCACAAGGAGTGGTGGGTCTCGCTGGACATGTGCTTTCTTAAGGGCACTGTTGCCGGAGTCGCTTCAATGCGCTGAAGGCCATACTTTGCACCCATCTTTAACAATGGGAAAGGTTGGGGGCAACAAGAGGGATCTGCAGGAGAGCAGTGTCAGTGCTGCTTTCGGCCTTCAATCTGCTGTAGGGCCTGTGCCCCTGATCAAGGCAATGATCGGCAAAGCCACCTGCGCGGTGTTTGTTGGCTCTGTCGGCTGTGGGCTGGCCTTCGGAGCCCTTACAGCAGGCAAGGGCGTTAGGAGAGAAACGACCGAGGCACCTCTCCAACAGCCGAGCCCCTCCCCCAAGAGGCCCGCAAAAATCGGAACTACACAGACTCGGGATGCGCTGAGTGTGTAGGGGCAATCATATGATGGGCGTGTCAATTTGAGAAGCCCTTGAAGGCACCGGGAGCTCGCGCACGCGCCCGAACACGCCCCTCCGGCACGCTGGTGACTTTGAGGAAACGGTGCTGCTGCATGAGATGCGCAGGGGCACACACCCGGAAGAAACGGAGGCCGTCACAGCTGGTGTGTAGCACAGATGGGCTCCCAGCATGGGCTAGTATACCCTACAACCCCCTTAAAGAGGCCCTTGATAGGGTTGCTTATGGGGATTCTAGGGCCTAATAGTCTAATAGCCTATCCTGGTCAGGGATGGGCATGCAAGCACAGCATGTCACGGGAGGTGCCAGGAGAGCAGGTGCTGCGAAGCAAGAGCCTGCACGTCAGACACGTGGTAGCTTAATGGCTTTTGCTCAGACCTACAGAAAAGGCAGGAGAACGGCCGATGGCAGAGGGAATATGCAGATGGACAACTGTGTCCAGCTGCGCCGTCATACGCTCACTGCGCCGGGCCAACTGATGCCAAGACCGTTGGTTGGTCCATCGGGCCATTGAGAGGCCCCCTCCAGCATGTAGAGCAGAGGCAAGTCCTCACCTAGAACTGTGCCGGAGCATGCGGAGCTGAAGGGCATTGGGATTGCATCTTCATCAGCCTCCAGCACCATTACTGCCGCGACTTCACTAGGGACATGGTCAAGGGATTCTACTTGCTGCTGCACCGGGCGCCTGGGCAGCGCTCAGGAAAAGAAGCTGCGAGCAGCTGGAAGATCTTGGCTAAGCTGGGTCTTGCGAGCCGAGCTCTCCAAACCGGCGCTTCTATGACAGGTCCTTTCGAACCTTGTGCATCAACTTCTGGCAAGAGAGATTGTGCCCGTGTTGAGCCTCCGTGGCTTAAACTGGTCAGGCCGAACTGCAAGCTGCTCAGATGAACGTGTGAAGCTTCCGGAGCTGCGGGACATGCGGTAGGAACTGCAATGTATCCACACGGGAGGCAAACTGGTCTGCAGCCTGCGCACAACTCGGGCGTTCGCAACACGATGCTCAGGCAATCTGTGCAAGGCGAGTGCTGGAGGAATACTGGAGCCAATGTGGAGCAAGGGGTCTGCAGAGGCATGCTGTGTCGGTCATGGACAGCTGGCAGTGGAGCACTTGCACATGCTGCCCATAAGAAGCTTTCTGAGCCTTAGTCTGTTCGACGCTGTTCCGCTCTACTTCAAGCAGACACATATGCTTTGATGTGGCGTCTCTTCTCAGGCCTTCGGGCTCGGACCGCAGTGACGCTGGCCGAGGGGACCATGGGAAGCGCTGGTAGGAACTCAGGGTTTTCGGCTTTGCTGAGTGTCCTCAAAAAGCAGCCGGGCCCAAACCCGTGAGGCCACGACTTAGCTTACCACGAAGCAGCCCATGACATGGTTGCCTAGCACGGGATAGCAGAGGGGGCGTCGCAGGCACGCGTTGTCACAGCACCGTTGACACATACCCCTTGTCGCAGCCTCTTGCTTCAGACCCTTTGTCGTGGATTGGGGGGACAGTGGCTTGAAGCTCTGCAACAGAAGTTTGGCGCAACCGGGCTTGTTGCAAGCAGAACGGTTTGATAGAGCCCCCCTTGTCACCAAAAAATGGCCGCCCGCACCTGCTACAAGCAACTCACCCCGACCCTGGCATGGGCGAGCGCAGTCTGGCGGGTGATTTTCGAGGCCGCCCATGGCCAGTGCGGATCCCTTTGGCACGGATTGCTCTGTGTCAGCTTGTCAAACACAAATTTGTCTGCAGTAGGAAAGCAGACTCATGAATGGAGTTGCGAAGCAACCGAGCGCATGCTAGCTGGCCTGCAACGTAGGGCCGAGCTGCAAATTGCTGAGAGCAACGTGCGCTTGGGTGGCACCACTATAGAGGCAACAGAAGGTTATTTGCAAGAGTGTGAATGAAGCTTCCGAAGCTGCAGGACATGCGGGAGGAACTGCAATGTATCCACACAGGATGCCAACTGGTCTGCGGCCTGTGCACACATCGGGCGTTGGCAACACGATGCTCAGGCAATCTGTGCAAGGCGAGTGCTGGAGGAATACTGGAGCCAATGTGGAGCAAGGGGTCTGCAGAGGCATGCTGTGTCGGTCATGGACAGCTGGCAGTGGAGCACTTGCACATGCCGCCCATAAGAAGCTTTCTGAGCCTTAGTCTGTTCGACGCTGTTCCGCTCTACTTCAAGCAGACACATATGCTTTGATGTGGCGTCTCTTCTCAGGCCTTCGGGCCCTGGGCCGGTAGGCTTTCAGGTTTTTTGCTTTGCCGAGAGAAAACGCAGTAGGGCCCAAACCTGTGAGGCCATGACTTGGCTTAGCACGAAACAGACACAGTTGCCTAGCGCGGCTGCCTAGCACAGTTGCGTAGCTTGGGAGAAGCACGCCTGCCTGGCACGGGATAGCACGGGGACCTCGCAGGCAAACTGACCGTGGTCGTGACTCGGAGATTGGACAAAAGCACATGGTAGGAACTGGGACTGGGAACGCTTTGACAGCAGAATCTGCAGGGTCAGGGTTTAGGGTTTGAGGTGTAGGGTTTAGGGTTTAGGGTGGTGGATCCGAACTTGAACCTCCGATGTCCAGATGAGGGACGGCGAACCGAACCTAGCCGACGTCGTCGAAACAGCCTTCATCCAACGCTCCGCTAGCTCTCCCAGCTGCTGCTTTTCTCCATCGGTATCATAGGCCCACATAGATGCCCAACCCTGCCTGCGCTAGGCCTGGGAGCCAAAGCGACCGTTAAGTTTTCTTACGCGGAGTTTGAAGCCGCAGGTGTCGGGTGAAGGGTCAGCGTGTTGGGGCAGCCTTGGGTAGCTTGGGACTTGTGCTCGTGTTGGGCTTCAGGTCTGGACGCGCCTGACTTTCCTAGCGGACAGGCCCAGGCTCCCAGCACTTGCTGGGATTGAGGACCTCGGTTTCAGGAGACAGCTACGCGCGCCTTGCGCAGCCACAGGGCCACAGGGCAGCAGTGATCTGCCTACTCCTGCCAACTTTGCCAATCCAGCATGGGCTGTTAACCCTTAGAATCCCCCTAACCCGCCCTATAAAGGGTCCGTTTAAGGGATCCTAGGGTAAAAGAGCCCATGTAGGAACCTCCAGATGCATCCCGACACCCCGGTGTGCCTGCTCATAGACTTGCGGCCAAGGACCCACGCATCCTGGGGCAAAGGATGTTGACCCCGCCCGGGTGTCCAAACTCGCGACGCTGCATGACACGACGGGCCGAGACCGAGGCTCCCGGTAACGCGCAGTGGCGACCCATTCGGGAATAGCCTCCCGCAGTGGCTCCCCTCGCCCTTGTCCCCGCTATCCATTCATAAGTACATGCTTGGGAATGGTCTCAGCAGCCATGGAGTTTTGGAACATAAGCCCAAAGGCAAAGAGGACACCTTGGAATGCCCGGCGGCTTGTTTCTGAGTGAGCGCCAACAGGGGCTCTGGAATCATCAGGCAACTCTTAGGAACTGTCAGAGCATTCTCAGAGAAACAGCTCCAAACAGTCGGGAACTGTCCCGAAGCGTCGGAACTATTTTCACGTGACTAGCTACTATAGGCTTCAAAGCTCGAAGGACCGAAAACGGGTCTTGAGAGAAATGGCACAGTTCTTGAGACCAGGAACCTCAAGGACAGACACCCGCAGTTTAAGAGACCACCGGGTACTCTGAAGAGGACACCTGCTACTCTGGCACGCAGCGGGTCATTTGTGCTCTGCCACTCTGCGGTATACTGGCCGCAAACAGGTCATGGCCAGTTGGAGCAAGTCGTCTTTGTTGCTGCACCCGAAACCCTAAACCCTAAACCCTAAATGGAAGCTCATGGTCGTGGCAAAGGCTGCAAGGGCAACAGACGGAGTCGCTGTAGACTCGCTCGAGACAGTACCGAGCCAAGGGTAACTCCCCCAAAGTGGCGTGTCGTGCTTTGCCGCCGTGTGGACACAATGCCTCATCGTCTGCCGTGTCCGTGGGTCCTGTGCAAGGCATCCTGCCAGGACCCAAGTAGACAGGTTTCCGTTTGAACGCAGAAGGAACCGCTTCACAAAGAGGCGCGCAAGAAACTGGCAGGACGGAGACTGGCGAGTCACTGGCGAGACTCCTGAAGTATTCTGGGCTCTTGACATCGCTTCGCATAGATTGCGTAGATGGAAAGAACGAGGAGGCAAGAAGGCACGCGGGCACCCACAGCCCTTGTCAGCCAAAGCAGCAGAAACAAGGACGAAGTGTCAGAAGCCTCGGGAGGTTTCTTCTGAGGGTAAGATGTGTCGGCTCAGAGCCGAAAGCTTCGAAGGCTTATGAGTCAGTCGCTCAGAGCTCAGAGCGCACAATCTGTTTCCCTCTCTGCCTCGCAGTGAGAGCTCCAAGTCTCAGTCTCTTGAGTGTCTTTAGTGCCCTTAAGAGCTGGAGAAGCAGCCGGGAGTGCAAGCCTAGTGCTGGGAGTTTTCGGGCTTCGGAGCCTTCAGAGAGGCTCCCTTGGGAACTAAAGATCTGCAGGGCTCAGAATGTCGGAGGCGAGAGTCGCCTAGGCTAGAGGTGTATAGGAACTAGGGTTTTAGGGTTTAGGGTTTAGGGTTTAGGGTTTAGGGGGACTATGAGGTAGTCCACTCCGCTTTCTTTTCGTTGACCTCGCAGCTGCATGTGCTCATGCCCTTCAGGCGCCGAGATGTCAAGATGCCAAGGGCCCTTCGGTTGCGGGCACGGT